GATCGCCGTGCGAATGTGTGTGTGTGTGTGTGTGTGTGTGTGTGTGTGTGGTGTGTGTGTGTGTGTGGTGGGTGGCAGGGGGGTGGGGCGACGACTCCCCCACCACCAATCAATCAATCAATCAATCAAACCCCTTTTTTTTTTTCTTTTTTTTTTGATTTTGCATCTGCATTTTTTCAAAACACCTCATACTTCTGCAAAAAAGATAAATTCATTTCTAAAAAAATACAGGCAAACTCACGGACCATATATCTCATGATAAAAAATGACCAAAAAAAATTCCTGCTTTTCTTTATATATATTTTTTTAATTTTCTTTTAATCCAATTTCGTTTTTTATTTTTTAAAAATCCTAAACAAAGTCGGATTCAAAAAAAAAAAAAATGGGGTTGTAGGGCTTAAAATTCCCTACAACCCCATATATATATATATATATATATATATATATTTTACCTATTATTTAATTCAGGAAAATTCGTGTAAAATCGCGTCCGCGGTGTGGACCAGGTAGGCCACGGATGCGGACCCATTTGGGTCCGCGATCCGAGCTCGACCCCGGGGACGCGTCCGCGGGTGTTTCGTAGTGCACTACACAAAACTGTACTACGGGGACATTCTGACGTCGAGACGTCCGCAAGAAGAACCGACGTCAGACCTCTCCGGTGAGTCTGACATGTAGGAAGACACTAACGTGAGACTGTCCGATACCGCAAGACTCGACCTCGACAGACCGGTGTCGTTGGAGGAGCTGACACAAACAGAGAAGTCGATGGCCAAGGGGAAATCTCCAGGAATTGACGGACTGACGATAGAATTCTACAGTGCTACTTGGGCCTCAATGGGCCCAAAGTTAGTAGAACTGTACAATCAGGTCCTTACGGGCGGGCGATTAGGGAAGGGAATGACACACTGGGTGATAAGCATGTTGTTTAAGAAGGGGGATAAGACAAAGGTTAGAAACTAGCGCCCCATTTCGCTGCTGAATGTTTCATATAAGATACTGGCGAAGACCTTGGCGCGAAGACTGGGGAACCATCTACCAGATTTAGTGGAAGGGGACCAAGGGGCCTTCGTTCGGGGCCGCTCGATCTTCAACAATATCGGCACAGCTCTAGAGGTCCTGGAGGTAGTACAGTCGGAGAACATGAACACGGCGGTTCTTCTGCTTGACCTCGAGAAGGCCTACGATAAGGTACGATGGCCTTTCGTGTTTACGACTCTGAGGAGAATGGGGTTTGGACCCTCCTGCAAATGGACGGTGGCCATGTACACGATGTCGACATCTGCAGTCATGATCAATGGGCACCTGTCAGCCTCCTTCAAACTCTGCCGCTCCCTGAGGCAGGGCTGTCCCCTAGCCCCACTGCTTTTCGTGTTGCAGATGGAGGTGGTGTTGAACAAAGTTCGGCGGAATCCGGTAATTAAGGGACTGGCCTTACACAGCGGCGCGCAGTGCAAAGTCAAAGCCCTCGCAGATGACCTGTTTGTCATCAGCGAGAACTCGAGGGAATCATTGAATGCATTGAAGAACGTCCTAGTGGAATACTCGAACCTCTCTGAAGCTTCAGTGAAGTGGAGCAAGTCTGTGTTTTTGCTGCCAGCACAGTTTGAACTAACTATACAATGGGGAATGAAGAGGATCAGAGAGGGGGAGGAAGGGAGGTTTTTGGGAGTTCTGGTCAGCTTGCAGGGGGAGGTGTCGACGCAGGGTCTGCTACTTCAGCAAAGAGTAACAACTAGACTGCGTATGTGGGGTTTAATTTGGCACCTGTCAGTCATAGGGAGAGCATTAGTGGCGAATGTCGCACTGTTCTCCATCATGTGGTTTGTTAGCACAGTCAGGGAGGTGTCAGACAGTGTGTGGAAGGCTATTAAAAGACTGGTGGCGCGCTTCATCTGGAAACCTCGAGCAAAGGACGGACAAGGATTCCTGATCAAGGTTGCCTGGGATTTGCTCACCTTCCCACGAGTCGAGGGGGGATTGAACTTGATTGACCCTGCAAAGAGAAACCAAGCCCAACTCAGTATGTGGCTTCACAAAGTGGCTATGGACCCGGTAAAGGAGCAATGGATGGAGTTAGCGGAGCAGATTCTCATTGAGTTAGCGGAGCAGATTCTCATGAAGGATTGGAATCTGAGCCGCCCTCAGGACGTCTGGCACTGCATGTTCATTCCATCCTTCAGGCGCAAGAAGCTGAAATCACGATTCTGGCGCGAGGTGTTAAAAGCGTGGGGAAGCTTACCACCAGAGGGGTGCACTCAACCACGGACAAAAGGAGGAAGTGCAAGCTCAGTTGCTGTTCGAAAACCCTCGGATTACAAAGGCAGAGGGCTCGTGGTTCAAAGCAGACGGTTCCACAGGCTCCTTTGGATTAGCATGGGTGCGAAAAGGAGTCAGCACCATTGGAGATCTGTGGAACCCACTCTTGGGTACGTGGAAAGCCCTACCTGAGCTACGAGAACACTCAACCCTTTGAGGAATGTGGAACAGCACCGGAAACAGTTATTGGAGGCCATCCCAGAAGAATGGCACCGGCTTCTGAGCCCAGAGGGGATCGACCCCATTGGCACCTGGTACTGCACAGAGAAAGATGGAGTAGAGGAAGTATGGAAGTTGCTGGAGATTCTCCCCAACAGATTCCGGAGAGTGCAGAGCTGGCTCTGCCAACGCCACACGAACGAATTACTGCTCTTGAACGAGAAGGTCATTATGGCCTGGGAAATTCCTCCTCAGGCTCGAGTGGTGGGAATGGGTGGAACTCCGGAACGAAGGAAAAAGTGGGTTTGGGTAGGGCACACTCCTCTGAGGAAATTGAGCATTGATCCGGACGCACGGGGCTGGTAAACAGGAGAAGCAAGAAGCCCCCAACTCCGTATGTGAGAGTATTCGGTGGCGAAGGGTTACAGACTGAGACTAAGCAGGGGTAATAGAACCTCTCCTGCGGAAATGGCCATCAACAGATGTCAGGCTGTGACTTCAGACGACCTATCAGAAGCGGGTCCCTCCTTCCTGGAACTCTGGGACACGCTGTCCAAGTTTCCAAACAGGAAACAAGTATCCATTCTATGGATGATCTCCCTCCTAGTGACTCCCTCGGCTGTGTGGTTAACAAGCAGAGGAGTGCAGGTTGAGCTGAAATGTCCGCGCTGTTCCTGACCTTTTGAATCAACGCGGCACCTTTGGTGGGAGTGCCCCGCATCACGAAGAATTTGGAAATGGTGGAACCAGCACTGGGAGCGGTTCGGGGATCCAAGAGTTGTCTGGGAAGAGAAATGGGATGTTGTTTGGCTTTCTTCCAGCTGACATGCACAGGAAACGGGGTTGGGGTTACGTAGCCCAGGCAACGAGGGGATTGCTTTGCGAGATCATATGGAAGGACAGGAACAGGCAAGGTTCGAAGGCAGACCCCTCTCAGACGTGGAAATCAAAAGAGCGGTAAGGCAAGGGCTGAGGGAAGCAATTAAGTTAGACTGGAGGAAGAGAGCAAAAACTGGAAAAGGGAGCAACAGACAGCTATGCTGATTTTTGGACATGTGGACGCAGCGCCATCAGTTAGCAGGAGTACACAGGACGAAGGGGCTTGTCCTCTCCCCCTGGGTGAAGGATTAGGTTGAGTGCGAGGTGGGATATAGGCCGAAAGCATTTGAGAAGTGGTGCATCGGGAACGGGCCAAGAAGCTGCGGAGGTGGTTTTAGTTAGTTTTGACGTTGTTTCGTGTTAGACAGGGGAACCAGGGCACTCGGTTCCCCACCTAGTACAGGTTATGGCCGCTGGAGGCAGCTAGTGGGTGGAGGGTGGTAGAGTGGCACGGATCCACAGGAACGTGAGTTCCAAGCAGCCGTAGTTAGGCTGTTTGCAGGCCGATGGTAGGCCTGCTATCTAGTACCAGAGTTGATAGAATAACCAAAATTTCAGTGCAGAGCTGCGTGGGTAGATACTTCAGTAAGGAGGTCGGAGTTAAGCTACGGGTTAAACCTGTGACAATGTGATGCACGTGCGGAGGGCACATGCGGAGATGATGAGAGAGAGAGAGAGGAGAGAGGAGATGGACACACACGAGAAGCAGCAGCTGAGTGAAGGTCCAGTCCGGCTCCATGAATGAATGAACAACTGAATGAATCAACCTGCCGCCCTGGGCCTAGGCCGAAGTGATATATCGGCCTAGGTCCAGGTACGGAACAACCTAGTACCGGACCAGGGTCAGGCCGACAGCCTGAAACTGGTCCGGCCTCCCTGCCGGGCCGTAGGGGTACCACTACAGAATAAGTATGAAAGTAAGGGTCATGGATGGAGCACTGAATACAGAGAGTTTCAAATGTCCGTTTCATGGGGAGTTAGGTCTAGGAACAATAGGTAGGAAGCTATGCTGTTTGGCATTAGGTAGTAGTTTAGTATAGTAAGAGTTGAAAAAAGATAAGGAGAAGCTCTGTTAGGAGTTCTCAGTCTACTGGTAGATCCGAGATTTGACATCCTCTACAGTTTTTGCAGTACCCACAAGCTAAACCGGCTGATGCTGCCCGGATAACTCCGGGCTGAATTGTGAGGTCCCCGGCCTCTACAGTTTTACATCAAATGAGCTTTAAACCACCAGTACCTTCCCCAGTGTTGGGAAAATACGAGATGCTGGCCAATACCCAAAGTTTTCGGGGGTCGGACAGAGGGCCGGCAATGTCCCAAAAGTCGTATTTTTTTTTTGCCCGTGCACGAAAGGGAAAGGAAAAAAAGCGGACCTTTGTACTGCAATGATGTCGTGCAGGGATGTCTAGGAGACCGTGCTCAGAGTCTTGCATGCATCTTACAGCAAAGAAGGTCACGTTCTCAAACTTGTTTTCTTTTTTTCTTTTGTATTTGTTTGTTATGAGTACCCTGCCAACGAGGCAGGGCGGAATCCGTGATCTGCTGTAGTATTGTTTTCTCAGATGATTGTAACACTGATGTACCCAGCCGTTTTCAAGGCCGAATCCATGTTTTCGTTTTTCTTTTCTTGTTTTCATTTTCGGGACTCTGACAATCTGAATCCGTGATCTGCTCGAGCTGTGTTCCCTCAGAGGATTGTAACCCTGATCACACTGGCACTTACGGGAATGTATCTTGCCATTTTCACGACGGAATCCATGTTTGTCTTTTTTTTTTTTTTTTTTGAGTTTCTGAAATCTGACAACCTGGCCATGGGGCTGAGATGCCCTCACTGAGGGCACACTCACACTTACACTTCCGATAATGTATACAGTTGCAATCACGCCCACAGC